AATAATTGAACATAATGGCCTGGGGTGCTATGGCCTTCTTTTGTACGGCCCAACCCACATTGTCTCAACCAAGATGGATATCATCCCAGAATCGTCTGCTTTCTTCCCTTCAGAAATTGTTGAGGCTACGTTGAAAATGGTTCCATTTTTTCCCCCCAAACAACCACCGTAACGCTAAAATTACAAGAAAATACATTAAAGCTTTCAATAGTTAAAAAAAAAAAGGTTTTATTGAATTAAAAAAAAAAAAACTTTAAAATTGATATGAAGACAGTCTCACTGGACATCTCTCTACAAAGGACAGTTTTCATCGTCAAAAATTACCATTTTAGCTATTTAGCTTCTCTCAGATAAGAGGACACCTCTCTCTAAAAGATTGTCTCTGAAACTAGGTGTATATATGGTATATACTGGGTGTATAGGTGTATATACTAGGTATATTTATGCAATTGTTGTAAGAACGATAAAAATGTCGAAACTGATGAAAGAATTTAGTACTGATGAGCCAATATATATCTGTATTTCACTATGGACAATAAAAAATATATATAGATCAAAAAAGTGTTAAAACGTTCAATTTTCATCGCTATATTCATTTTCCAATATTAACATATTAGAGAAAAAGAAATTCAATCATCATATTTCTTTCTTTAATCATTTTCACAGCAGACGAAAAAAAAGAAACCTCACACAGGATGATTCGAAATAGTAATTCAAAAGACGCCAATTGATTAGAAGATGTAATTTATATTTACATATACCCTTAAAGAATATGCAAATCTATTGATAACTTTTGCAATACCCCAAAACACACCGAATCCCCATGATAAGTATAATTGATACATCAAAGTTGATGTGAATTTGATGGATTACTTTATGGTTGATTGGCTTGTTGAGTGATAGATCGGTTGGTCAGATATATTACAGTAGCGATTGTTTGTATTTCTTTTGCTATGTAATATAACATAAGATGTTTTACATTCGATATTAAAGGTCATGTAACTACAACGAATAATGAAAAACTCCTAATTGTTTATTAGTGATCTATTCCTGATGGATTTGTATTACTAGTAAAGGTCTTTTTTATTTTTTTTTATTTGGTCACAAAAAATCGTATGTATCAAACGATATTTTAAAAAATGCGTTATCAAGAAAAATTGCATATTGAACACTATAAAAAACAAGCTTATCGATATTTTAATAAAAAGTATGTTATAAAGTTGTTAAGCCTTTCTAAAATTGCAAATTACCGTATCTGATTTACATTTTGTTGAATTTATTATATTAATCGTGATTGGGTGTGTGTGTGTGTGTTAAGCCTTGAGGTGTCAATTCTTATCAATATCACGTCCTCCATTGTTCCAACATCTGTCCTCCATCAAGATTATTTGACTCGTAGTTAATGCAATTAGTCGTCTGGTTTCTTTTTTCTTTTCCTTTGCAGACGAGCGTGAACAAAAGATGACGTCATTTTCCTTTAATCACTATCCCTTAACCGAATTAGCCTTGTGCCTTAATACAAAAGGGAACTTTTCAATTTTTCCCGCCTTTTTTTTTTTTTAAAGTCGTCTGCCAAAGTTATTTTGTATCATTTTCGTCTGCTTTAGTGTCGTTTGCTAATTTTAAAGTCCCAAAAATAATTTGATGACACTGTGAAGTAATATTAGAAGATGGGGGAAAGGAAAAGCACAGCAGATATTTAAAAATAATAATAAAAAAAGAACACAAAAAATGGCCACCCTTCATTTCACAAATTCTCACCAGACGACAATCTAATGAATTAATCGTCCCCATCTGTGATCCCCCAATTTAAATAATCGCTTTATTATGACACAATTTAAAGTTAGAAAAAAATCGTTTTAATAAAAAATATAAAAGCGAAGACTTAACACTAATAATAATACAATTATTTTGCCACAAAAGAAAGTTTAAAAAAAAGTCGTGTGACAAGTATAATCCTACCGTGTAAAATAATTTGTACGTCGTACATTTAGCCCTCACTTTTCTCATATTTTTTTTATCGCTTTTTCTCTTCCCCCTTTAAACTTAGGTTTTATTGAAGATTTTGAAGCTCATCTGCATGGCTTTCTATGGGGTTTGAGATGCAGGATTTTGTTGAAAGCTGCGTTTCTATTGATTTTAATTTTCTATCGGCTGGCTTCTTTTGTTGAAGAATCGTCTGACTTGTCTTTAAAGCCATTTTCCCCGCCCTTTTTTTTTTTTTTTTTGTAAAATTTAAAATTATTTCTTTTCGCGCGTTATTTTACCGATAATTACCCTTCCATCTTCCACATCCTTAAAGTGAATTTAATTTCTTGTTTGTTTGTTTTTTTTCTTCGAGAAATTGTCAAGTATTTTAGATCAATGGTCGTATTTTATTCAAAATATCACTGAGTCAAATATTCATCTTTTCGATTAGTAGTTGTGTGTTAAATGTGTTATTTAAAAAACACATTTTTTATTTTTATTTTAGTGCTCTAATAACGATTGGAATTTCACATTTTGACAGGTAAGAGGTCAAATATAAGAAATGGAAGCATTAAAACACGAATGTTTATTTTTTAAATATAACACAAACTTCTACTGTCTTTACTACGATGAAAAAATATTGTGAGGGCTTGACTCATCAGTGGCTAACCCTCCAAGCGGTTTCGCCAATTTAATCTACCAGACCGTTTCTTAGAGCTCTAATACTGTATTGAACGATTCTGCTTATATAAGTTGTTGGGGAAAAAATATTTAAAATCAATATATTTAAAAGAGACGAATAAATGAATTCGATACATTCTATAAATTAAAAAAAAAATCTTTCAAATGATATTTATGATTATGATTAAGAAATAATGGTAAGAAAGAGATATTTATAAACATACTAGCGGATGTACCCGGCTTCGCCCGAGGTTTTACCCGAGTAAAGGTTTGTCTAACGAACATTTGTTAAAACAATTCTCTATAAACTTATTAAAAAAAAGATATATTTTGATAATTTGAAACTCGTAAATTTGAATCTCTCGATAAAGTGAACATTTTTTCCCGGTCCCTGTGTGCCGTGTCATCCTGAATTTTGTCTTTCCTAATTTTCTACATTACAAAATCATCGTTTTATTTAGTGAACATTTTTCCCGGTCCCTTGAAAAATACTCGATAAGTTGAATAAAATCAATATTAATTGGTTCCCTCGGTAATTGGAAGTTAAAGGAATAGTATCTTCGCCTTGAATTGTATCATTATTCTTGTCTCAAATAAATTGCCGTGTCATCCTGAGATAATCTTACTTTTGATAAATAATCTTTAAGATAATAAACTTAGTGATAATAAAACTTATAGGTAAAAAAACTTGGTATCATCGTCGCAATGGTGGCGCTGCTTGCGAATTAAATCTGCAAATAACTCTAAGGATATTCAAGATATTCAAGAAATTATTTTTCAAAAACCTTCCCGGGGATATACCTAATAATATCCCAAATTTTCACGGCGATTGGATGTATAGTTTTTGAATCTATAGATTACACACAGACAGACATTCAATTATATATATATATATAGATTCAGAGCATTTAAACTTATGCAACTCTCTCTCGATGTAACCCGGATTCCTGGAGCGTAACTTATGTAATGTTGTATAATTTATTAATTATGAATTTGCATAAACTATTTCGAAGATATTCAATTTTAGCTAAATATGTCTAATAAAGGTTACTATTTATAATTGAATGTCAAATACCCAATGTGCGTGATGAAATATGCATATATGGAACCAAGAAAATCTAATATCAAAAGAATTATACACTCATTGACAAAACCTAAGTGGAAAGTCTTTAATGCCGCCGATCGTCTGTTTTTTTTTTTTTTAAGAAGACAGAGGCAATTTTTTTCACACTTTGGTTATCGCGTGTGTCTTCAAGACGCATGTCTAATACCTAAATAAATATCTCAAACACAAAATCACCTATGTAAATCCAAAATATTAAAAATTGATTAAAAGAAAAATGCCTACGAAGGAAAAATTTCCTATCCCAAATGCAATGTCAAATGTATAGGGAAACACTTATTAAAGAAAATTGTCTAATATCAAAAGAATAGGAATAATATTGAAAGAAAATGTCTACAAAGGAAGATATCTGATATCTATAAAATGTCCAATTGTTCCTAAATAAAATGTCAAACGATTAGAATAAAAGGCCTAATTGAAGGTAATTATTAATATCAACTGACTTCAGCAAGGCTTCCTCTCCAGGGATTTGGAGGAGCTGCGTCTACCTACTTATGTTAGAGTCGGCAGCAAAGGCTTCCATGTTAGGAACGGCCTCAAACTACAGGCAAAGTCAGACTTTTCCCCAAAGTGTGCCTGGATCATGGTGCCATGATCAATGAAAGCTACACCCCTACACCCCATTCCATGAGATCAGCTCGAGGAGCATGAACTCATGGAATTCGTGTAATCTTTACACAAAGGGATAAGAAACAACATCATCACTGGTACAAACCATTGAAACAATTAGAAGAACTTCATAAACTCAATAGAAATCAACAAACAGCTTTAGCAAGACTAAGTAGTGGCCATATAAAAACCTTAAAATTTAATAATGTACAAAAAACCCTTCAATAACTGCTTGAAATGCATTAGTGCGGAAGCTTCTCCGAAACATATCATGCTCAGAACTGACAATAGAGGACCCAGGCCTATAACTACCATCGAAATTGGAGAGGACTTCAGGAATTGGTTTAACCATGGAGATAAGCACCACCATCACCAGAAACAACATTAATATCAAAGGGAAAATAAATATCTAAAATACTATGGGATTATATACTATTTCTCTGAATAAGAATTATTTAAGTAAAATAAGAATGTATTTATTTTTTTTAATTGACATTTTAGACGCATAATCCCAGCTTGGGATACTTGCGCCTAAATACATTTTTAGTAGCTTAATTTAATAAACAAGACTAAAAACAAAATAAGTGGTTTATATTATATTTACGAACGGAAAAATATGTCCAGGGTAGCCTAGTGGACATGGCATCTGCCCGGTAAGCAGAACACTGTGGGTTCGATTCCCATCCCTGGACACTTTTATTTTTCCGTTTATCATTACTCTTCACAATTCATCCTTTCATACCTCATCCCTAAGGTTAGAAATAATCATTATTTCTCCTTAAAATAAATTTGGATTTTTCGTTGAAAAAGAAACACATGCGGGATAATTTTAAAAATCTCGTTTTTCAATCACAAGCCTAATTATATTGTACAAAATAAGTATATATTAAAAAACTGAAAATTTGATTTTCTCAAATGTTCCTGTGAAAATGTGTTAAAACTAGCCACGAAACAACCACATCACAGAGTGTAGGAGTCTTGTGTTAATCATAGTAATGGACCGGCAGTCCTGGGGATTTATCATCATCCTCATCTCCTCATCAGCATGCAGGTCACGTGGTTAATACTGTAAAAAAACGGCGCAGACGACACAAACCCAAATTTATTTTATGCAATTTCCATAGAGGGATTAACCAAACGTGCTAATAATGATTGTGTTAATGTGCGAGACACATTTTGCTTTTAATTTCGAAATTGTAGAGGTTTTTTTTATGTGTACCGTGTGTTATTTTTGTTTTTTAAAAATTAGCGCTTCTCTCTTTCTTTTTTTGCATATTGCGTGTGCTTATACCTTTCAGAATTATAAATGGAATAAATCTCCCAGAATTTTACACTAATGAATAATTTTAATTAATTTATGGCAAAAATTCGGGTATAAAGAGTGGTTTAGAAATTTTGTCAATTTTATATATATTTTTTAATTTATGGTACATGGGCTATGATAGTCATGGTGAATTGTTAGCGATTGCCTTTTATTGTAAGTGCACCAGATGTCAATACACGTAGAAAGCAGTTCGAAATTTGCACTTACAAGATGCTAGAGCCCCGTTTGATTACTTGTACTCATTGGTGGGGTTGGTCTTGTGTAAGAATCGGTATCCGTTGAGGTAGGGAAAAAAAAAGTGTTCAATACGGGATTCGAACCCGGGTCGTGATTTTTCAAATATCGACGATGCGTACCCTTCGTTTACCATCCTTCTTGTTAATAAAATAAAAGTCCATCAAATATAAATAATATTTCGGATTATAAAACTGAATAAATGTAATACCGATTATTGGAGAACTAGAGAAATATTTCTAGAGAGACATTTTAAAGAAATACAAGTAAATAAATATGTGTAAAACGAATAAACATTTAATTTATCAAGAAGACTCGTCAACATTTTCTTAGAGTTTGCTGAAGTAAAGCCTACCCTATGCTGAAGAGGACCAACATCTCCGAAACGCGTACGTAGATGACTACCTAATTTATTAAAAGAAAAAAATCAACTAATAGGGTTAAAAAAACACAACCTTTAGTTGATATATTTATTCCGATAGATGGTAATCAGTATTGACTAATCAGTAAATGACCTGGTCATCATTTAAAAAAGAAAGAAGAAATTTGTGGTTTAAAAAATTCCCACAAATATAACCACCTAATAGGAGAAATATTACCTTCTAATTTTAAACAGGAAATGGTAACCATGAACACTACTTGAATGCCAAATATTCCTTTTAAAGGAAATATTCATGTTTTCGTCCAAAGCCATCGCCAGAGATAAAAGTTGCATATACCCGTTTTGATATGTAAAATAGGTAGAAACTTGTTGAAAGGCTTGGAGGTAATCTGCCAGTTTTTCTTCTTTTCTTTACCTTTTTATTTTCACGGTACCGGTTGGATTTTACTCTTTTCTTCGAGACAAAGTACTGAGCCTGGTTTTATCGATAGTATCATCTTCTTCAGATCGTACTAGAGTTTCGTCTTGTTAGAATAGAAAGTATTTTACCGTCTTCTCTGATCCTTATGGATTATTCTCCTCTTGGAGTAGTATCTTCTTTAGATCGTACTAGAGCTTTATTTTGTCTGGATAGAAAGTATTTTACACTCTTCACCGATACTTCTGGCCCATGCTCCTCGTTCAGTAGTATCTTCTTTGAACCGTGCTAGAGTTTTCGTCTTATTTGGATAGAAAGTATTTTACCCTTTTTCTGATATTTATGGATCATGCTCCTCCTTCAGTAGTATCTTCTTTAGATCGTACTAGAGTTTCGTCTTGTCAGATAGAAAGTATTTTACATTTTTTCTGATCCTTCTGGCTCATGCTCTCATCAAGTAGTATCTTCTTTGAATCGTACTAGAGTTTTCGTCTTGTCTGGATAGAAACCATGTCAATCTTTTTATGATCCTTCTGGATTATGTTTTTTTAGGATAGTGTATTCTTTGTATCGTGTACTAAAGTATTTTTAATATTATGTATATATTATTTATAAATTATGTATATTATGCTTTATTTCTTATTCTCTCTTCATGTGTAAGGTCGCCCTTCAAATTGATTTTTTTTTTTGTGTTGGTAAAAAGTATTGTACTCTTTTCTGATTCTTTCTAGATTGTGTTCTCGTATCGTAAAATGTTTTCTCTCTGTATATTAATAAAAGTTATTCTATAAATGGAACGTATTCTGCGCTTTGCATTTTAAGAAAAAAAACTATTGATTTTATTGATCTAGCGTGTTATATATAAGAGAAACTTCTATGTTAAATATTTTATATTGTAATAATTTTTCAACCGTCACACAGTATTTATATATGAAACATGCCTCTTGTCGTGTTTAATTTTATTATTATTTTTAAAAAGATGTATTAACAATATAACTGGTATCTACTTCGCTTCATATCTACTATAATATATATCTTAGTCTGATTATATGTATTTGTGTAGAGTGGTAGGTGATCAGTTTATATTCGCTCGCGCTGATTGGCTCTCTAGTATCACGTGATGTCAACCAGCCAATCAGCATGCAGTATTTTTTTTTTAAGTTTCGAGGTTACATTGTATTGTGTGTGAACAACGTTATTAAAGATCGTGAGAGTTAGATACTAATAAGTTATTTTTTTTTAAATTAAACTTTTTATATTTTTATCATTTTATTTGTAATTTTATAAAAATCAAACACATTTTAGAGGGTTGTATTTAGAATTTATATATATATTATATATAGGGGAGTTATAACACTTGTTCGGTGGTACATATACTACAATAGGAACGATACAGAAAAGATTAGTATGGTCCCTGCGCAAGGATGACACGCAAAATCGTGAAGCGTTCTATATTAAGAAATTATATTGGTATTAGGTTTTTAATGGCTTTGTGATATAGATCTTATTCTTTAATTAAAAAGGCATATATTGATCAAAATATCATTTATTTTACCAATATTTCAGTTAGCTGAACTCCAACCTTTATCAAGGTGTTATAAACATTTTAGTGACAACAACAAACTCAGCGCCACATAACGTAATGACAAATGTAATGACAAATTTTTGCGGTGTAAGAATAATTCGATTTAACGAATTACATCGATAAATGTTCAAGCTTAATTATTCTTAAAATGTCTCCAGTCTCACATATATGCGACAGGCTAAAGCTCTAGTTCAGATAGTGAAGAAAGAGTTTTAGAATATTCAAATTTATTCTTATGGCCCCTATTTACATAGGTATGGAGGGAAGATGACGGTGGGCAGTTGAAGCAGACAACTTCCCCGGGATGATGATCATCATCTCTAAGGTCCATCCAACTGAGTGGACTCCATTAATACTTGATGGACTTCGATCCTACACATCTTTATTTATCTCTGGACCTGCCTCTATTCTTCACCTAGCACTGCCCTCTAGCGGTGAGACTTCTCTGGACTTCTTTTTTTTTCAATCACAGAATAAACAAATTCAGTGATTTGCAGTATACAATAGTGATATACAATCTCATAAGTAATGCGCTTCAATTAGAATATTGGTGCCCCCTATTCTACAATTTTTTATGAATTGTACATCAAATTCTTACTAGGCTTAGGTAAATTAGAGCTAATTTTGTGTTAAAGAATTGTTATTCATCAGCATTATCACAGATTTTATCTGTTCATTTTGAATGATTGGTTTTTAATAGGTATTGTGATATTTTGGTAAAATATCGGATTGACTTTTGCAAAACCTTGGATCCAGATGAATCCAGAATCTATATGGATCTATAGGTGCACATATATCAAACAATGATTACAGATAAAATATACACCATAAAATCTACTAATAGATTCAAAAAGAGAAACTTAAAACAATGGAGTAAGATGCATTCAACAATAGAGATCTAATTAAAAATACATCCAACTAACCAATAGATCCAGATGGCATACATCCAACAATAGTCCAGATGGAATACATCCAACAATGGATCCAGATGGAGATACATCCAATAATGGATCAAGATGGAATACATCCAACAATGGATCCAGATGTAGATACATCCAACAATGAGGATAATTTTGAGCAACCAATGGATTCAGGTAAAAATACATCCAACCAAATCAATATGGATTCAAAAGGAGAAACTTCCAACAATATGTTCAGACGATGATACATCCAACAATGATTCCAGATGGGACTAAATACAACCAACCAATGTATGAACCCAAAATAGAGATACCTCCCAAAAACCATCGTATATAGCTGGAACTACGTTCGACCAAACAATGAATCAGAAACGAAGCTACATCCAACCAATGGATCCAAAGAGGAGCTATATTCGACCAACCAATGGATCCAAAGTGGAGCTATATTCGACCAAACAATGGATCCAAAGTGGAGCTACATCCAACCAACCAATGGATCCAAAGAGGAGCTATATTCGACCAACCAATGGATCCAAAGTGGAGCTATATTCGACCAACCAATGGATCCAAAGTGGAGCTATATTCGACCAAACAATGGATCCAAAGTGGAGCTATATTCGACCAACCAATGGATCCAAAGAGGAGCTATATTCGACCAACCAATGGATCCAAAGAGGAGCTATATTCGACCAACCAATGGATCCAAAGAGGAGCTACATCCAACCAACCAATGGATCCAAAATGGAGCTATATTCGACCAACCAATGGATCCAAAGTGGAGCTATATTCGACCAACCAATGGATCCAAAGTGGAGCTATATTCGACCAA